GAATTCCACCAGCAACACCCAGATGCAGCCAAAGCACCAATCAGGGTCGTCACTTTTGGTGGAAAACGCTTCGAATTATCCTCATATGAAGTTGCACCGATCTCCACACATCGAATCAATATGTCCGACCATCCAGACGAGTTCTTCCTATATCATAAGATGACAGATCTCGCCAAATCACTGAAAAAATCCTCAAATGAAGCAGCAGGATGGGATATTTATGCAGCAGAAACGCATGAAATCCCCCCGCATTCATGAGCTGTGGTAGGAACGGGAATCGTGATTGACCCTCCCAAACATACCTATACACGAATAGCTCCACGCAGCGGACTGGCTGCATAAGGAATTGACGTGGGCACAGGAGTCGTCGATCCAGATTACACTGGGGAACTCAAGGTCGTACTAATCAACACAACGGATTTCGTATTTTCGGTCAAGCCAGGAGATAGAATAGCCCAAATAATCTTCGAGTATTATGCAGAGGGGCTTCTCTCCCGAAGCTACCAACCGTTGCGAGCAACTAGAAGGGGTAATAAAGGTTTTGGCTCCTCGGGACAATGAGCCTTGAGAGGGGGGTAGTGTCACAGATTTTCACCACAAAAGTCCGCACGTGACTTTTCTCACACCACAGATCACGTGCTTCACCAATATCTCACGCCACTCAGCCACAGACGCGACGCGTAGAGATCAGGTGATAGTCCACATCACATGTTATGGTTCAGACCCGTGAATGATACAGCCGGACCTGTCTATTCCAGGATACAATAAAGGCACCCATTTGAGAACAAAGGGAACAAGGACTATTGTTATGCATCGGCCTTCCGCTTCCTATTAGTTTAGCCAGAAGCCTAGATAGGTACGATGTTCACACCGGAGAACAAAAGGGAAATCAAGATAGGCACGATGTGCACATGCATTACTGCGGCAACCATTGATCTTCCCACTTATTGTTCTACTTCTGGACATCCTATTGTTTCATGTACGGCCATTTGCTTATACCCGTAGATAGGTAGCTTAGGTAAGATAGCCCGCTGTACGTGTATATAAGACCAGCCATGTAGGGGACGAAACCTCAGATTGTTTCTCCTCGTCTACTACCCATAGCACTCACTGAGCTCACCAGCTCCTTCATATATCTCTCACCCTTTCCTGCGTCTGCCACATCGACCAGTAAGTCAACAGGCTCTTATGTCACATAGGGTTCAGGGGAATACTTTTGAGATCAGGGGGATCAGGGCGGCACGTTCCACGTGACTGTCCCTTTTTAGTCTTTTTGATCTCTTGTTCGGTGTTACCGTGACAGCGTCTATCCCATTGTGGGCCACACACCTGTACTGCACTCCCTGTCCCCAGGGATGCCAGTCTCCATTCCATGTGCTTCCCTGCCTGCCTCAGTCTGTATGCCAGTCCCGGTGCCCCCCTAATCTTGGGTCCTGGTCTCCGTACCATACGCATCCCGTATGTGCCCATTTTTGGTGACTTCCTATAGCGTCCCCATGCGCTCGTCGCTCGCTCAGTCTGCACGCCAGTCTCAACACCCTTTGGATTCGGGTCTTGGTCTCCATTCCGTGTGCACTCCGTGCAAGTGCCTCGCTCAGCTTTTCTTTGGTGCTTCGCATGCTGTGGCTGTGCCGCTTCGTCGGACTGCCGGCCTGTCTCGCTCGGCATCTGCTCAGCCCGCCCTTTGACGCCCTGCTCTGCCCTCACCTCGCTGGTAGGCCCACCTCATGCAGTGCCCACCTCCTGCACCTGGTGTCTTGTATCACCACAGCGGTGCCCTGCAGTCAACCCTCTGGCCCTCACCCTCCTGCCCTCAATCTCCTGATCCCACCTCTGCCTGGTTGCACCTGTCTCTTAGCTGCCCTGCAGCCTTCACACCTCGATGACCTGCCCCAGCTCCCAGCCCTTGATCTGCCAACTGGATTACTCACCAGCCAGCATCAGCAGGAGCCTCGTAGTTGGTGGTTTCACATCGATTGCGGTGAGTGTCCCTTGCTCAATGGTTATCAGTTTGTGTTGAGTTTTCCAGCCAGCCCGCTGCATGGCCAGGAGTTCGGGAGTCACCTGCTCTCTAGAAGATGGCTCCACGGGGCCAAACTGATGGCCCGTCCCATTGTAGCCATGTCCTATTATATACACATGCGCTACTACTCTCCCACACCAGTGGTGCAGGTCACACTGGGGCCTCTCACATCTATGCTCTGTGCCCAGATTCCAACAATTCACACATTTGTTGAAATGTCACACGAACATCTAAGTGTGCGTTAGAGTAATCGTTATGGACTAAAAATGTTCTGAGCACACACTCTCAAAAGACGGACTACTTATGACGATGATGAGGTTGCAGCTTCAGAAATGAATAATCATGTTCCCATAAAGGTCTGGTGATGATTTCACAAAGGTGTACTGCATGGAGCCATTAAAGTTAACTGATCGTAAAATACAAGCATTGAACACATCTCACTGTTGGAAGTGGCTGACTGATGGCACTTCTGGTGAAATGTGCTCAACGTGTCGGGAGGGACAAGTGCCAAGCGATGGCTGAAATTTGTTGTAGGGCGGTACCTGGAAACAGAGTGGGCGAGTACAGAAGGGCAGAAAATGTATAAATATGCACCTGTACTACTGTATTCTCCAGTCCTTTGTGGCCCCACCAGCCTCTCACTCCCTTGCGCCCATGAGATGGAAAGGTGCCAGCTGGCTAACACCTTTGCCACACCAGGGTTTATTAGACTCACGAGGAAGATGACTGGATTGATCATCCCAGATAAGCAAACTAGACCGAACATCCCTTTGTTGTGACTGAATATAGCATACACCCGCAATGGAGCAAAAACTGTCAAAATGGTGAAACTTTACTTCATGTGACCTGTCGCAAGATAAACATACGTGGGGCACTGACCAAAATAATTATATTCAGAACTATTTGCACATGCAAAGTGATGTCACAGAGGCTGAAAAAGGGACTAGTGGCAAATGTAAGCCGGAAGCGGTGATCTGACAATAACTGGCATCTGCTTACAGCTGCATACTTTGCCATACGATGCCCTTAAGCAACTCTATGAGAGTATTGGATAGCGCCACATATCTGAAGGCATAGTAAAGTGAGGTTGCAAGTGAGAGGTCAGCCTTCCATATAAATTTGATTTCACGATCTAATGTCAGGATGTAGTCATAGAAACAAAGGGCTGCAGCACGTCAAATATGTGTAAGTGAGAGAAAGTATAATGGGGACAGTGAGATGAGCGTACTAGCCACTGAGAGATATAGATATTTCCCTGAGGCCAGGTCAAAATCTATAAAACTGCACTGTCATGGGCATGGCCAGCTATACACCCTGTCAAGTCCCCTACTGGTATTCTTTTTCTAGAGACATGTCGATAGTCTGCAGTGGTGGTTGATTAGGATCCCTTGGCAAAGCTGAAGGAACCTGGACTGAGGCTGGGTAAAAAGTGAAAACTACAAGGACTTTGGCTGATAACGATGAGGGAGCAAGCGGGAGCCAGCTCCAGGATACGCAGCTAAACTATATACCTACAGAGACACTGGCAGTTGAGCGCTGATGCATGATGAGCTATTGAGGCCTGAGGCCTGCTAGGGGGACAGATGTCCCATGATGCTGTGGCCTCCGAACAGCCAATTCAGCCAGTCAGATGAATTGACGTGGCATGAACCGAGAACTATGGAGATTACTCGCTGCAAGCCTGGCAGACTGTGTGAAGTTAACAATCACATAGCCTCGGACTGTCCGTGCAATGGTGACATCAATAACAGGAGGTTATGATGTAGTAGACGATGGATGAGGATCTGTCACAGATTTTCACGTCCTTCAATCTGCACGTGACTAGAACATTACATAACATCAGCGCTAGGCTGTCCAGAAAGGAACGAACTGGTACGTGAAGTACTGACAGTTCTAGGCACCCCGAAGGTCCAGGTCTAGTCACGTGACATATCACGTGATATTCATACATGTGACAGGTAGCGCTGGTATTAGGTAAGCCTAACTTATACAGTAATATCACTCCACCTAGAAGCAACAGTCGGATTCTGGGAGAATCCAAAGAAGGAGACACACACCACTGGAGATGTAGCCATTACAGGCAATACCATTCCCATGGTCTTACTAAGTAGTTCAGAGGTTCGGCATGCATGACACACGTAGTCTGACAGGTAGTGATAACCAATCAGACAATGTCCATTAGCTAGCGGTTCTGGGGTATCAGGGTATCAAGGGTCCCTCTGCTCATGTATATAAGCCAGAGCTCTGAGACGTATAAGTCCCCAGACTTATTCTCATCTCTGCTATGCCTATACATACAGTGTCACCAGTGCCCACTTGAAAGGCATTGCTTTACATTGATCATCTTTGTGTCCATCCTTATGTCGACAACAGTCAGTAAGTGTTTGATCATAAGGTCATAGGCTTAGTCGGCGCTCTGCATCCTAAGTTTGTGATAGAAGAATAAGTCTGACATTACCTGCCTCAAGTGCCTGCCCAGCATACTCGCCACAGTGTTGCGTCTTCGCACGTCCACCTACACGTTAGTGGTGTCATATCTTCACCTGACGCTCCATCAGTCACCGACTCTACCAGCGTAAGCCGCACCAAGGCATTGTGCAGCATCGACGGTGTCATCCATCGTCCTCGAGCAAGAACTCCAATTGAGTTCTATGAGCAGCAGCCCATAAGACCCCTGCCAAGGCTAGGACATATTTCTACGGAAGGTCAGCCCCCTCACGGCATAAGTTCAGTTTCTATTATCCAGACTCCCTCAGTCAGGCGACCGAGTCTACCTGCAGAACCATCTGGTCCAGGTCTTAATCAAGGGACATACATTGAGACCACTACTGGGTCTCATTTCATCTATCCTCTCGTCGTCTCCATCATCTCGACTCAGCGCATCGAAGGCACCCTTCGACAGATTCGTATCCTACTCACCAAACGATGCCGTCATCAACTTGACGACCACGACATCTTCGACCTCAAGCACCTTATACTCAAGCTCGAATCCATCCACACTAACATCGTGGAATTCAAGCTTTCCTTCATTCACCAACACGTGGTTCGCGACTTCTGCAACTATGTCCAGGAGAGGAAGCATCAGGGCGGAGAATCTCACTGGATAATCAGAGATATTATCCAGAAATATCGACTAGGGATACAGGTCACAGGGCGACCTTTGCTGTAGATACGAATAATCATTTTGTATATGTCTTCATCTGGCAGTTCGAACAATCTCGAGAATTTCACACAGCTCAATCCAGTCGGACACACTTTCAATTATCTTTGGGATTCAGTACCTCATGCTCTTCAAGAGCGAGCAGAATAAGCATTTGCTACATATGAGGATACGTTTCACATCGACTACCATGACGTATATCACATATACGCTTTTCAAATCTACCCAGAATTTGATTGGAGGAACATCGCGGTTCATATCTGCTATATTCCAATTGGCACAGAACAACCCGAAGATCGTCTCACCGAAGCATACGACAGCTTCGTCCAGTGGCTGGAAGAAATCGAACGACTTTGCGAAATCCATCATAATCATCAGTGGCCCGTGTGCAGGGACAAAACTAGGTTCCTGTGGCAACCTTTTGTCAAAGTTATATTCCACGACATTTATCTGCTGTACCGCATTCGTGCAGGTCGAGCAATTGTCCGAGCGGCCACAATCGCAAACAGTCATATTGTCGAGTTTGAAGAACACCTACGGGAGATAGAGGAGGAGATTTAAAAGAATGTCTCACACCACACCTACCCCCAATGATCCAAGTTTCTCTCGGGCTCCATCGCCGGAGCTCCCCGCACATCTCAACATTGTTTTACAACCACCTAATCCTATTGTTCGGCAAGCCCTCGCCGACACCGCACCCCCCACTGCCCAAATACCCAATGATGTCAAAAATTGGGTAGTCGATCTCGTCACCAATGTGGTGGAGCAAATGCGACAACAAACTGTTGCGCATTATGAGCTTCTAATTAATCAACAAGCAGAATGCTCTCAACAAAGCACCACAAAATTTCACAATCGCACGGTCTTCTTAGATCAGCACTGCCAACAATCTGAGTCTCAAATCTCAGATTTGGAGAAAACCTCGGCAGCTTTGACTGAGGATAACAGGGTCATTAATGAATCGTTGGTGGCATTTGACGATGAAGTCAAGGATCTCCAAGCAAGGGCGGAAGATTTAAAGAAATCACATGATCGACTTCGGACATGGGCATCTACGCAGGGAAGGAAGGCAGTGCAAGGCCGTGACAATGTCGACGATACGGACGACGATGATGAGCCATCGTTTGGTCGCAAGGGTAAAGGCGTAAAAATTGACCAACTGGAGAAATTCGGTGGCAACAAGGACAGAGTCAATCTCGACAATTGGCTCGAACAGGTTATGCTCTGGTTGAAATATACTGGACATACAAAAGACGAGTCCAAAATTATGTCTACCCTCTTACTCCTGAAAGGAGGAGCACGTGAATACATGCGGCATTGGATCACTGCCATCAATGAAACCAATAAGGCATCAGGGACTTGGACAAAGTTCATCTCTGAGCTCCGCACGGCATATCAATCAGTGGACAAGGACGACAAGAAACAAACAGAGTTAGAGGCCTTCATGAAGAAGGACCATCGAGACTTCTGCAAGTTCGTGGAAGAGTTCCATCCCAAGGCAACTGGTACAGGCTTCTCGGACCAAGACTTGATCGAGAAGATCAAGAAGAAAATTCTGGAGAAAATGTGGCTGCTTATGCTGGCAGACACACCTAAGGACAAATGGCCAAAGAAATGGGCTGAGTTCCTTACCTTCGCACTCCAGGCTTTCACGTCATTACAATGAGAAGGCCACCACGGTTCCACTGAAACCAAGGACCCAAATGCCATGGAGGTTGATGCAGTGGGAAAAAAGGGAAAGTCGAAATCGGGCAAAGCCCGCAGCGTTCAGGATGACAAGTTGGTTTGCGCCAACTGCAAAAAGAACAAACCAACGTTCTTCAAGTCATTGAAGTGCTACGGCAAGTATTGTTCTGATTGTTTCAAATTGGACCATGTCAAGAAGCAGGTGGAGAAAGGGAAGGATACAGCTGCAAAGAAGAAGGACGGGAAGAAAAAGGATGACAACAAGAAGAAGTCAAGGTCATCCAAGACGTGACAGGTAGCATCTGATTCTGCTTCATCAGATGCAAAGAGCGAAAGCTCTGATACTGAAGAAGAAGAGAAGCCAAAGAAGAAGAGCTCTTCCTCTAAGACTAAGGGAAAGAGTAAGGAGACAGCTGCGCATATCAGCGACCGCAGCATTCACTCAAAAAGCGAGCCTGATGCATCCGAGTCAGATACAGACAAAGATTTTGCTGCGATCCTCTCAAGGCTCAGGTGCCTGAGGGCAAATGAATCCAGTTCATCAAGGAAGGCAGGAGAGGGCTCTTCAAAAAGGGATCGGAAGGGTTTTCTCAAAGGGGATCTGTAGGCAGCTCATCAGAGTCCCCAGAACATTATATAAGACCTGTACATTTAGCACCCAGATCAGACACCTCTGTAGATCGTCACAATGCAGAGGAGGATAATGTAACCATAAAGAATTCATCTCCAAATTTATCATCATTCTATCTACCAGTTACATTATGGGTGTATGGCAAAAAATCGAGCGCCGAAGCTTTAGTTGACTCAGGAGCATATTCCATGTACATCAGCAAGCGATTCGTAAAGAACAATCGAATCACAACCTTCAAGCTCAATACGACGTACAAGGTGTACAACGCTGATGGATCCCAAAACAAACATGGCGAAATAACCGACTATGTAAAAGCATACCTCAAAGTCAGAGATCATGGTTCCACCCATCGTCTGCTAGTCACAGACATCAGAAAATTGGACATGATCATTGGGATGTCATACTTACATCAGCACAATCCAGAAATCAACTGGCAAGCTGGAGAATGGAAATACTCACGATGTCCAAGTACGTGTCACCACCAGAGGCTTCGTAAAAAAACAACAAGCCATTGTGAGAGAGGAAGCTGAAGAAATCTTGCAATGAGCACAACAAGTGGCAGAAGAGGAGCCAACTGCATTCAGAATGTTTAATGGACACAACATCGATGCAGTAAATCCTATAATCTCGTGGGTCGAGATGGACGACCTCGAAGCTGAACAAATAGCCCGCATGATACTTTCTATAGCAAATTGCGGCTATGCTGAACCAGAAGAAAACCTGACAGAAGCGGCAGCCCAGAAGATCAGGTTATTAATGAAGTAGAATCTTGGGAAAAATTAGTACCAGATTATCTACATTCATTTGGTGATGTCTTCTCCAAGAAAGCATCGGAAAGGATGCCAACTCGAAAGCCTTATGACCATGCAATCGAGTTTGAAGAAGAACATGAATTACCACGACCAAGCAAACTCTATCCTATGAATCCAGAGGAAAGAAATTCCCTAGATTCATGGATCGACGAAAACCTAGCAAAAGGCTACATTCGAAAGTCGAAATCACCTATTGCTGCCCCGGTATTCTTTGTCAAAAAGAAAGATGGCACGCTAAGACTGGTACAAGACTACCGAAAACTTAATGCTATAACCAAGAAGAATCGCTTCCCTATTCCACGAATAAGCGAGCTTATCGATCAGCTCAGTAATGCATCAATATTCACCAAGCTGGATTTCAGATGGGGATACAACAATGTTCGCATCTGCAAGGGTGATGAATGGAAAACAGCTTTTGTGACGCATCACAGTTTATATGAGGCCATGGTTATGTTTTTTGGTTTCTGTAGCGCACCAGCCACCTTCCAGCACATGATGAACGAGATTTTAGATGATCTTATTCGGGAAGGCAATGTGATCGTCTACCTCCATGACATTCTAATCTTCACCAATGATCTGAAACAACATCAGAAGATTACCAAAGAGGTAATTAAAAGATTACGGGACAACGACCTTTTTGCCAAACCAGAAAAGTGCTTTTTCGAACAACCTTCAATTGAGTACTTAGGGATGATTATCTCAAAAGGCGAGGTCCGTATGGATCCTCAAAAGGTCGCCGGTGTACTCGACTGGCCTGAACCCAAAAAGGTTAAGCAAGTACAAGCTTTCCTTGGGTTCGCTAACTTCTATCGTCGATTCATTGAAGGATTTGCCAAAAAGTCTCGACCACTCAATATCCTTACACGAAAGGATCAGAAATGGGTATGGGGCAAAGAACAACAACAGGCATTTAACGCTCTCAAACATGCCTTTACTTCAGCTCCAATTCTGGCATTACCAGATGATACTCATCCATTCCGGTTAGAAACAGATTCCAGCGACTTTGCCACTGGCACATGTCTTGAACAACTCAAAGAGTATGGGTTGTGGCATCCAATCGCATTCTATTCAAAAAGCCTCAATGAGGCTAAGGCGGAACTATGAAATCTATGATAAAGAGATGCTCGCAATTATTCGAGCGTTGGAAGAATATCGACAACATCTCGAAGGTCATTTGCTCCTGATAGAAATTTGGTCTGATCACCAGAACTTGACCTATTTCAAATCAGCACAAAAGCTGATGAGACGGCAAGCTCGATGGTCATTATATCTTACATGGTTCAACATCCAACTACATCACAAACCAGGAAAATCAATGCATCGCGTGGATCCTCTGTCCAGGAGGCCAGATCATGAAGAGGGGGTAAATCTCGATAATTCTGACAAGACTCTGCTCAAACTGGAATATTTCATGATTAAAGCTATTCAACATACCCATCTTGCAGTCATCACAGATTATGATTTGGTGAACAAGATCAAGGAGGCACTACAAGATGACAATGTGAACAGATCATATCAAGACCTACTCAAGAAAGGACAACGAGACTTCTCGAAAGGACTCGAAGACTGGAACTTCGAAAGTGGGATATTACTATACTGAGGCAAAGTCTATGTGCCGAAAGCAGATAATAAGGAATCACTTAGATGAGAAATCGTCCAGTGTCATCATGAAGCCACCAGTGCAGGTCATCCTGGAAGATGGAAGACATATGAGATGTTATCTCGTAACTACTGGTAGCCAGGAATGTCCACTTACATCAAAAAGTATGTTGGTTCTTGCGACCTTTGTCAACGCAACAAGAACATCAATCAGCCAAAATACGGAGAATTACAGCCAAATGAGGTTCCAACAGAACCTTGGGAAATTGTCTCTGTCGACTTAATCACTCAATTACCAGAATCCCATAGATTCAATGCAATCATGGTAGTTGTCGATCGTTTGACCAAATGAGCACATTTCTTTGCAATCACCAATGAGTTCTCAGCATCAGACCTTGCTCGTACTTTCTATGAGAGGGTATGGACACAGCATGGTCTTCTGAGACAGATTATCTCAGATAGAGGTACTCAGTTTGCAAGCGCATTATTCCAGGAAGTATGCAAACTCCTTGGGATACAATCAACAATGTCTTCGGCATATCATCCAGAGACTGATGGTCAAACTGAAAGAACAAATCAGTCGCTGGAGCAATATCTCCATATCTATACTGACAGACGCGTGGAAGATTGGAGTATACTACTGCCAACTGCCGAATTCACCTATAATAGTCAGGCTTCTGAAGCCACTAAGAATTTCCCATTCTTTGTCGAATACGGTAGACATCCACATGCAGAACTAACAATAATGGACCCCATAAAGCATCATACGCTAGATTCTATAATGCAGGCATGAGTAGAAGCGCAAGAGCAAGCAAAAGCAGCCATTCTATTGGTGGCTGAACGCATGAAGTGGTACTACGATCAATCCGTACGACCCGCACCTTTCAAAGTTGGAGATCAAGTATTACTCTCCACTAAAGATTGGCAGACATTGGGAGCCAAACTGGCACAACGGAGAGACGGACCCTTCGAAATCGTAGAAAAACTAGGACCAGTCACATATAGACTCAAAATGCCACGACAATACAGTGTTCATCCAGTTTTTCATGCATCCAAGCTCGTGCTCTACCATGAAGATGAAATACCAGGCCGCACACTCAGACCCCGTCCTTCTATAAAAAAGAAGACTGGCGAAGAATGGGAAGTCGAGTATATAGTCGACTCTCGTGTCATTCGTGGCAAACTTCAATATTTGGTGCATTGGAAGGGTTATTCTAAAGCTGAAGAAACTTGGGAACCCGCTGCAAATTTGAAGAAATCTCCACGTCTCATCAAGGAATTTCATAGAAAATATCCTGATGCACCTCAACCAATATCTCTCATTGATACAACTCCGGTCGATGGCGTTTTTCCACCCAGAAGAACAGGTCACGTCTATGACCCTGCCACTGATACCATTCAGATATATGATCAGGATAGAGATGATTGGGATCATTCTAGAGATCTTCAAATTACATTAGACAATCCAAATGCACGAGCACCGAAATATGCCCATGAAGACGATGCTGGAATGGATTTAGCCGCATCTGAACCAACAACCATCCGAGCACACTCAAGAGGATTGGTGTCCACAGGACTTCACTTCACCACACCTCGAGGGACCTATAGTCGAATTGTGCCACGAAGTGGGTTAGCTGTCAAAGGCATCGATATAGGCGCTGGTGTAATCGACAGAGGATATACAGGCGAAATCAAGATTTTGCTAATCAATAATACAAATAACGACTTCACAGTTAATTTGGGCGATCGAGTCGCTCAACTTATCATTGAACGTATTATCACCCCTGTCGTTTCACTGGTTGATTACCTCAAACCCTCAGCCTGAGGATACCGTGGATTTGGTTCAACAGGCGATAATTACTTCCAGAAGCCACGCAAAAAGCCAGATTCGGGACGAACTGTCTAGAAGGGGGGTACTGTCACAGATTTTCATGTCCTTCAATCTGCACGTGACTAGAACATTACATAACATCAGCGCTAGGCTGTCCAGAAAGGAACGAACCGGTACGTGAAGTACTGACAGTCCTAGGCACCCCGAAGGTCCAGGTCTAGTCACGTGACATATCACGTGATATCCATACATGTGACAGGTAGCGCTGGTATTAGGTAAGCCTAACTTATTGTCACAGTAACACCGGACAAAAGATCAAAAAGACTAAAAAGGGACAGTCACATGGAATGTGCTGCCCTGATCCCCCTGATCCCAAAAGTATCCCCCTGAACCCTATGTGGCGCAAGAGCCTGTTGACTTACTGGTCGATGTGGCAGACGCAGGAAAGGGTGAGAGATATATGAAGGAGCTGGTGAGCTCAGTGAGTGCTATGGGTAGTAGACGAGGAGAAACAATCTGAGGTTTTGTCCCCTACATAGCTGGTCTTATATACACGTACAGCGGGTTATCTTACCTAAGCTACCTATCTACGGGTATAATCAAATGGCCGTACATGAAACAATAGGATGTTCGGAAGTAGAACAATAAGTGGGAAGATCGATGGTTGCCGCAGTAATGCGTGTGCACATCGTGCCTATCTTGGTTTCCCTTTTGTTCTCCAGTGTGAACATCGT